AAATGAAATTGGTACGTCTTGGACTGAAGGGGTTAACTATTTTTTTTTAGAACTAGAAAGAATCAAATCTTCAACTGGTAATTTTGTAATTTATTTTTTTAGTAAATAACCCTGGTAGTATTGAAAAATAAATTATTCTTATCACAGAGCTAAATCTAAATCAATCTAAAAAAGGGTCACAAAGAAGTGATTTTAAATATTTTTGTTTTACAGAATCAGTGCAAGATTTGTCCACAGGGGGGAGCTAAAGGTTACTTTTACATAGAAGCTCATCTCTGAAAAGTTAGTCCTGTTCTATTGAGAACGTTGCGCATATGCCTTGTCCTCCCCCACATTTAATTAAGTTAGAAGTGTGTTTATTTGCTCATGAAGTGACATTGTAAGAAAACATCAACCATTGTAGTGTGAATGGATTTAGGACAGGCAGGAGTCACAGTGAGGATTACCTTGCATTTAACTAGATAAATTTGCTGAGTACAATGTCTGGAAAAAGACCTGCAAAAAAAGCCAAGCAAACTGACTATTTGTCTAAATGCCATCTTTGCGCAAGTCTGATTAAGACCTGGGGTCCTTAGTTTGTTTGATCTCTGCTCATCAAAGGGAGTTCTTAAACAAGCTTCATTTTAAACTACTGTATGCTGGGATATACTTTGAAAACAAAAGAATGGGCAGCAGTACAGAACAAGTATTCACAGTTTAGTTCAATGAAGTGGATGGGTCTAATGACATGAGGGATTTGAACTGAAGTCCTCTATCTTAATGGTTTGCTGCTTTAACCAAAGCAAAGTGTTACGTTCTCTCTTAAAAGTGACATATTAGATTAAAAGCCATGGAAAGTATACTGCATAGGATCTATCAGAGTTGTAGTGAATTCTATAATTATAACATTTTACTCAAGATATCCATTCCATTCTATTTTTCCTTTACTCCTATTTTACAGAGTATTTTGCAGAATTGTGTCACTATTTCCTTAACATTACGTACCTTATTCACGAAAGCAAGAGGTATAAAGAATTGATTAGGAAATTGCAAAATGTAGGCCCAAACAACCAATGTACGCATTTAGCTAAATAGGAGATTGTCTTTTTCTAGTTGAGGCAGTTTCACTTAAAAGTTGTTAATCGGCCACAGTTCCTATTTAAATGAATAAAACCCTACGAATAGGTAAATCAGCAATAAACGCTTCGGGGAAATATTCTTTTATACCATGACATATTCTGGCAAACCTTTAGCTACCAAATTTCCACAGGAATGCTAACTCTGAGAAAAGAAGTATCTTTTTTCTTTGCAACAAAATGTTAACACGCTTTGTGTGTCGCAAAAAGGATTTTATATTTCTGTATTGCATTGTCATTTAAAAGGTTTTTGTATTTTCTTGTTAACGTTGTACAAATGCAAAAACATAACAAAAAACAAACATGCAGACAGGTGCATTTCTAACCGTTTCGCAGGACTGCCTGCATGGAAAAGGCCATTTTCTTGTTTTGCCTTAAGGTAAAACATTTTGCACATCCTAATTGACATGAAATCCTATGTATTTCTCGGTTATTTCGAGAAAATTAACTTGGTAGGTGTCAGAAGGGTGATACTCTCAAAGAGTCAAAGAATAAATGAGATTGTAGAACTAAACATCTTTTGATGTATTCAACATCCTGCAGTTTGCTAAGTGTGTAACATGTGGCTATTGTGTAAGGATAACAGTGGTGCTTATCTTGGCCTACGATCACAAATGTTGGTGCCTAGGTAATGACTCAAAATTGAGGTTTTAGACAGGGAATGTCAAAAATGTGTCAGGACGGCTTTTTGAAATGTTGAAATAAATACCTCTGTGTTCCAAAAATAATAAGCCGGGACACATCCACACACAGCAATAGCTTAATACCTCAAACATTTTTAGGCTTGTTTAGATATTTTCCATTTAAATAGTGACTGCATTATTTTCTATATCCTTTTCATTCAAGGTAGGCAAATTCCCTACAGCTGCAAAAATTATAAGAAAATATCCAGAAGCAATGTAGTAACGACTGCAACAATGAAGGTCCTATTGCATTCTGTCAACACTATGTAATGATATTTGCAAGATACAGTGTTATAGTTAAAACTAAACACATCTATTTCATCTCTTTATCCTATAATGGCTCATGTTCATATTTTTGAGATGATTAGTCTTTATGCATGTCCAATTTTTGCTGATTGCTGTTTACATATAGACACTAATTATTTGAATGCAAAGGCAAAACAAACCGCGATGGACGCTGAAAATGTCAATAGCTATTTTATTGTTATTGTCATTAGCAATTATTTATATAGAGCAGATTCAGCTGTTGCAAGCATGGTTTTGCTGCATTCGTACATTATAAACGGGACATTCGTTATCTCTTGTTTCTGCCAATATTATTTTGTATGTCAATTTCTTATCAAATATTCCTATTCTATCTGCTAATACTAATATTGGAAATGGAGCCCAGCTGTATGTGGAATTCACAAGGTGTTTACCAGAAAAAGAAAAAAAAGAAAAACAAAAACAGTTAGTTACAGAAGATTGGTTATAATTGTAAGATATTACAAAATAAGGCAGAAGTTATAAAACTACCTTTTCTCCCTCATTAGTGGAAGAAATTATACATCCTTCTTTGCAACCAACTGCAATTATTATTGGGCCCTCGAGTTAAAATTATGTACAGTCTGTGCAATGCATCATCTATATAATGTATTAAAAATAGGAGTTTCAATTAAATAGATTTTCTCTGGCATGTGAATTACAAAGACAGTACCTTATGACAGCATGCGGAATGTTGACGTCTAGGAAAATATGACCAAGATCACAACATTAATGGGTTATATCAATGCATGTACAGCACATCACAGATGGCGCAAAGGAAAATTACTAGACTCGGAGATCAGTTTCATAACAAACTGCAATTCATCTGAATTTGAGCTGAGCAGGTGATCATTCGAACTCGGAGCCAAAATGTAATAGTGTTACGATCCAAACAAATCACACAGTGGCCACGCATGTTCATTTTGATTTGTGATTAAGAACATTTACTTTACTCCATCAATAAATAGGTCATTAATGTGACCTATTAGCATTACATAATATAGAATATACGATGGCCAATAAATGTCTATCTTCGAATATACCACAAAACATGAACAAAACATGCTTAAGCAGTAAAAAAAACAAAAACAAAACACGTAATTGTCATTCATCGCAATAAGGTTAATCAAAGTTTAATAAAAGTTTGCCATTATGGCAAATCTTACTAACACTATCCAGTTTTGTTTAAATATATATATTGAAAGGTCAATAATCCCATAGGGACCGAATATGGCTCTTTCAGAATAAGTATATGCAGGACAAACTCTAGGTCGGAGGTAAACGAAACCAGAGTATTAAAATATTGCTTATGTATATAAAATAAATAATGTTTAATATAATAGTCATTAACATTACTAGTATTAATTTAATAAGCATTTTAAAAGTATCCCATCAAAATGCAGTATTCCAATATTTCCACTAGTCGGCGCTGTGTCTAAGAATATGCATCGCAAGTTGCAAAAGTTCTGACAGGTACAGGAGTAGCCTGACATTGACCTGCTTTGGCTCAATTTAAAGAGCAATGATAAATAATACAGAATTATGTATTTATTGATACTTGACTAATAAATAATAACTAAAAGTGAACCTCATTTAATACCAGGGTTTTGTCATAACAAAACTAAAATACCTTTCAGCTTTAAAATACTACATCATGAAGATGCCACATGACTGAGCACATTATTAACATAGATAATTAGTTCCAGAAACAAATGCCCACTTATTTGCTTTCCACAGTTCTGGATGGAATTAACGCCTATGTAAGAAAGATATCAAAGAGTTTAATATTCAGCACCAGCATCCCAGCTCCTAACCGCCAGCGCATCCAATCTTAAACCAACCCACCAAACTGTTACTTTCATCACAAATGCTTATGTACCAAGATGCCGCAGAGATCTGACGCAATCAGAAGTCACATTTCCTAAATAATCAGTGTGATGTAAAAAAGAAAAATGTTTGGATCTAAATAGCTGTGTTTGAAAGGGAAATTCTACCTTTAAGCCTTAGAATTTGTAAAAAAAAAAAAAAAAAAAACAGTTAATGGTTTCTATGCCAGAATCGACGATGTGAGAAAATTTTAAAAAATAATAATAATGTTTAATTTAAATAGCTGTTTAATAGGGTCATTCTGCCTTGAAGCCTTAGAATTTGTAAAATCTAGTTAACCCTTTCTCTGCCACACTGGATGCAGTGTACAATTTACCTGGTTGATGCTAAAAATGATGGATGGATGGATAGATGGATAGATGGATAGATGGATAGATAGATAGATAGATAGATAGATAGATTGATTGATTGACTGATTTACAGTTAAGTTACAGGGGTGTTCTTCTGTTGTCTCCGGGTTATATCACATGAAAACTGGATTTAGGATACTACCATCATGACACTATTTAAAATGTAAACACTTAAGACATATTAAAAATAAATAGGGATGGATGTGATTGCTTAATGCAATTATGTTGAGAGGATCTGTTAAAAGGGATTTAGTTTTTGGTTTTAAATTCTTTAGCCATATGCATAGAATTAGCAAAATAAAAAAAATAAAAAAAAATACAAATACATGGTGTTAACTATTTCGCTGCTTTATATTTTTGTAGCAATTCTTGCTCCATGATTAGACGTGAGTTCTGAAAACAAGCAAAGAATGCAACAACAACAACAAAAAAAAGTTGAAAAAAAAAGAAAGAAAGAAAGGAATAATTGATAATTACAATGATTGTGAAATCCCTGGCTGCGAGTCTGCTCTGTGATTTAGACTTGGCTGAAGCGTCATAAAGACAGAGCCTTTGAAATCACATCCCTTGGCTTTGTTGTGCTGTGTTAGGGGCGTGTGTGCAAACATACCCAGGAGTATAAGTACACCAGCAGATCTCAAACATCTTCAGGAATCAGCCAAGCACATCATTAACACAGAGAGAGAGAGAGACTGCTACTACTGCAGCAGCTACAGAGGACTTTTATCCCTGCTTATTTGGGGCAGAAAAAGAGGTCCTCACTGCTTGACCACTGGGACTTTTATTTTTTCTCACTTCTATCAGTGCTGAGTGTGGCTTCTGACCATGTGCCTGAACGCTCTAGGGATCCTGCTGTCCTTCCTGGCTCTGTATGGTTACATATGGGATGGAGCATCTGCTTATGTTATGATGACCAAGTCCAACTCAAATTCCATTAAGAACGTGCCGGCTGTACCAGCAGGTCCACCAATGAGTTACTACCCGGTCAGTGTCAGTCCGGACTCCTTCTATGACATGGCTAACAAGTACCAACCTCTTGAAACTCTACCGGTAAGTATTCCTTACTCCAGCAGTCCTGTTAATAGACTATGTTACGGCCACTTAGAAATGACAAATGACTTCCTTCAATTTCTTTTAACTCTCAGGTTTTTTTTTTAGCTGTGATTACCATCAGTAAACGTTAAAATGATTTGTGATTGTTCTGTTAAAATAGTTAAAAAAAAAAAAGTAAAAGAAGTTTATGATGCTTTGAATCATGTTAAATAATGCAGCAATAATGAGGAAACGATGTAGGCAACAAAGTGTTAACCCTTTAACTGCTGAAGATTTCTAAAAAAGTAAAAGATGAACTTCTGTAAGAGCAATGGACTGTCAGATGACCCCACACAGATATGTGACAGCTTAACCCAGTCTTTGGTAGATATACTCTGTCACTGCAGCTTTTGGAGGTGCCAAAGTCCCCCATCATTGGTTTTAAGCTCTCAGTAGTATATTGCAAGCCTGGTCCTCTGGTCCCAGGGATACAGAGTTTGGGGCACTTCGAACAATCATGTCTTGTAAGAGCATGTGTTATGTTTGCGTTCATGGCTGTGTGTTCCCAGTAATCTGACCCATGCTCCGTCCCCCCCTCCCACAGCTCTATACCTGCACGGAGGATGATGACTGCGCCATGGATGAATTCTGTCACAACTCCAGGAATGGGAATCCCATGGTGTGCCTGGCCTGCAGAAAGCGCAGGAAGCGCTGTATGAGAGACTCCATGTGCTGCATGGGCAATTATTGCAGTAATGGTAAGAGAGACTGTATTCTAACTTACCAATTCCTACCCCTGGTGCAAATATGTTCCATTCTAATGAAAGAGACTGGAGGATATTAGTTCCATTCTAAAAAAAAAATCTACTAAATTCTCCATAATGAAAGAGACACCCAAGTCTATGTATATTTTTCAACAATTTTTTTTTATTTTTTTTTAAACAGAGATTTCGGTTACCAATTAGCTTGAATTTAAATAAAACACACTCAGAATCTCCCATAATTCAGTATGCCAACATGTATTTTACATTCAGTAGCAATATGGCCAAACCTTTCCTTAAGGCTAGAGAGGTAAATAAAAACAAAAAAGCCCTTCAGGCTGTCATTTTAAATACAGACATGTAGAATATATGTATGAATAATAAACCAATCAGCTCTCTCAACAGATAGTGCCATACACACCTCTAGGTGAATGCACAGACACGATATCTCAGGGAAGCAATGAGTAGACAATTAGGGCAGTTAAGTATGTTAGTCTACTCCTGTATAGCCTTATATTCATCAAAGGCAGAAGAACTAGCATTTCAAGTTTATCCAACCAACAATTTAGACCATCTGGGGCCATTGATACAATGTAACAGTATTTATCTTAAAAAAGGCTTATAAGAATAACATTGTATCCCAAACACAAATACACCTGGCATAGCTATAAATTAATCAATAGAATCACCCTCCTAGCTAATTAAGATTGAAAGAGTTTTTGTCACCTCTGAAAAGCATGGATAATAAGCAATAGCCTTATAATGTTGTGTCTTTGATAGTTGCTCAACCACCTGATGGCAAGATTCACAAAACATTCAAAACTCTTAACTGGGGGCTCATTGTTTTTAGCATAATCTTTAAAAGGGTCACTTACCACATCAATGGCTCTTGTTGCCAAATACCCCCCTCTGTGATTTGAGGATTGACTTTGCATAACTGAGGGTGTCTACTACCTACTGTTAAAATGGTCGATTTGCTCAATTTCATTTCTATTTGCCCTGTTTCATGTCCCAGGTGTGGGGAGGCATTTCTCCCTGTGCTAATTTAACATACTTTAACAAATCCTTTCACTCACTCCTATGTGAATCCTGAGCTAAAATTCTCCTCTCTTCCTCTTCACAGGGATCTGTTTACCTACGGAGCATGATCAGGAAAAGATTCAAAATCCAGGATTATTGGAAGAAGCAATGCTGGACAATTATAACCCTGAACATGCTACAGTGGATACTCACACTAAATTAACTACATCCCCCGCTGGAATGCAGCCGTTTAAAGGTAAGGTATCATTTCAGCTAAACACTATCATTGGGAAACATTCCATAAGTCTACAATGATGACCTTAGTAGACAATATAGGGCTATATTTATCAAGGCAATATAGGAACTATTCTAGTGTAAAGTGTTACAGTTCAGAGACATTCCACTGAATGTTCCTTATTTAGAAACTCTTTTGACTCAATAGTGTGGAATATATATTTTTTTTCAAAGAAACATGGAACTCTTGTCAAATCTCAAAAGAAGTTCATCAGTTAAAAGTGATCCTTATCACCAAATAGGTCTGAATTGAGACTTCCCAGTGTTCAATTAACGCTGAGAATGTTTGTGTTGATAATAAATTCATGTTGTCCTCTGTCTTTTGCCTCGATAGGAAACGATGGTGATGTGTGTCTCAGATCTAGCGACTGTGCACCAGGACTGTGCTGTGCACGCCATTTTTGGTCCAAGATCTGCAAACCCGTCCTTGAGGAAGGCCAAGTCTGTACGAAACATAGACGAAAAGGATCTCACGGGCTGGAAATTTTCCAGCGTTGTCACTGTGGATCTGGCCTGTCATGCAAACTCCAAAAAGGAGAATTCACAACTGTCCCCAAAACTTCAAGACTTCACACGTGTCAGAGACACTGAAGAAAAGAAATGATGGACTTGTTTATTTTTTGTTTGTTTTTTTAAATTAAGTTAAGCTAAAACTTTGAATGACAGATTACTTTATTTTTGGATGTATCTATATATATATATATATATTATCACAGTTTACATAGAGTACTTTGGCCACCCCCTGAGCCAGGGTTAACATTAACTTGTTTCTTTTTATGGAACTGCATTTTATTCACATTGTCTGCAGTAAATTACTGTGTTGTAAATAGATAATGCAACTCTTGTTGTAAATATTTATGAAGATCTACACATTTTCTCTCCTATAGACCTTCACATTGTATGTGTGGGAGCACCTACCCTTTTTTTTTTAATGGTACAACGATAGAACTTGTGTATTAGTCCTTATTTTTTATTGAAATAAAAACCTGTTCTAAATTGTATTCTTGACATTTTATTTTCTGCGATTAAAAACATCCGATTAAAAATGTTCCTGTTAGCAAGCAAACAAAACATAATTTAAATAAAAAAATAAAAAAAAAAACAATTTGAGGATAACATTAAATACATATTGGTAAAACAATTCTCTGAAATACCAAGGTAAACTGAATGGTTAAAAAAAATCCAAAACACAGAGAGGGGTCATTTAAAAAACAAAACAAAACAAGAACACATTTTGTTAAAAAAAAAGTGCTAAAACACAACATTACAATCCTTTTAAAAGTTTACTAAAATGGCTTTATATTTTCTATCACTGAGCATTCTATAAATAATATTACGAAATACTGCAACTTCTTTTTCTTGGAATATGTATCCAATCTTTAAGAAGCAAATAATATCAGTTTTTTTTTTGTTTTTTTTTGTTTTTTTTTTATTTATCTTGCCAAATTAAAAATGTCAGTTTTTCCATATTTTAAAAGGTTTAACTAAAATCGAATATACTTATGGTAATGTGTCTATTATTCCTTATACATATCACACTATGCAAGTTAAACTCAAATCTCCAGGAGCTATGGATTCTAGAAGTTCTATCATGGCTTTAAATCTTTTGGTAAAAAAAAATAATAATAAAAAAAATTAGCCATTATGTCTGTCTACCTATATTGCACATTCTCACATAAACCTCAATGAAGACTTCACTGATCTCCTAAAATGAACACCCCACGGGTGCATTGAACAAGTCTAGTCAGAATTCAGTGAGTGTTTCTTTTGAAAACTCAGGAAGTAAAGTTTTGCTGCTGGCTTTTGTTAGCTGTGGACCATCCAAGGCTTAAACAGATCAACCTCCTTTTCAATGTCTCTCACAAGCCTTTGTCACTATCAGGAAGGCTCTTTCCAATTCTAGTTGTATCCCAGATGATCTAAGGTTGTAGACCCAGGAAAAGACAATAGTGAAGAGGAAACAGAAACCCATCTCTTGCACATTCTCTAAAGAAGATACTTCCGTTTGAAAGAAAGGCAGGGCAGAGTCACTGAAGGACCACAGTCATTTGATCTCTTTCTGTTACAAGGAAGAGTAAGCTACAAGACCCAAATGATTGCTCTTTGCTTTTAAGACAGCATATTGCCTCCAGCATTGTTGGATTTCATTTCAACTAAGTATCCTCAAATAAAGAACAAGAAATTATCTGTGTGTTTCAAGATTCACAATAGATATTTTCTTTAAAGAACTTGCTCAGCAGCTACACATTACAGGCTGAGAGTTTCTACTTTTTTTGTTAACGTAATGAGGCACCTACCTTCCCAAAAATAGCAGTGCAGACTACAACTCCCATCACACTTGGAAGTATACAAGCAATGACCGAGCTATTTTAGGATATTGACAATAAAAACAATACAAAGTAAGAAAACAGAAAAACAACAAAACTGAGAAATCACTAATGAAAATTCATCATGCAGGACAACTTTGCAGTTTAGATTATGTAGATGGGACAGTGATATTACACTAACCATTTATTGTAGTGGATATCACACTTGCGTTTATTGTGTGGTGGGTTATGGTACATATGGTAAATAAACTAGCTATTTTCCCATAATGCCATGTTAATGACTAGACCTGTACAAAACGCGATCAGAATATGTTACACGATAGATGTGGTCATACAGACACCCTTATATATCATTGTGCTTGTATGTATGTATGTGTGTATGTAGAGAGTGAGAGAGGAGAGAGAGACACACACACACACACACACACACACACGTGCACATTGATTACATGGCATCTGGATATATTTTGGAACCCCCTCAAACTGTAGAATTTTTTGTGTGTCTCACTATGCATCCCCCAAACTCGCTCTTATTAAGGACATCACAGGTACTTATACATCGATATTTACATTCAGACAGACATATTCACAAACATACAATTATGTAAACATCAATCACACACACACACACACACACACACACACTTTTAATGTTATAGATTTATGGTGGGCTTCACAGTGCGTTCTACCAGTCTCCCAATTCTTGCCATGACAGTGAGAGCGTAGTCCTGTGGTTTGCTGCCTGGACCAGTCTTTGTGCGGACTGCCCAGCTCCCCTTTGCGGATGCCAACATGGGGTGATGTCATTTCCCTGCTCTCAGCATCAGTACAGGGAGCTGGTAAATCAGTGCAGAGAGAGCCCAGCAGCCCCCTCGGTGCCACAAGATAGTGGCAGAGTAGATACATAGCGCATGGCACACCCACCTGCAAAGTGCCACTAGGTAGGTGCCTGCTCTGGTGGAAAGGGGTTACTCTGTGCACCCCGTATCCTGGATCTCATGTGTGTGTCTCACTCTCTCTTTTCATCTCGAGTTAAGGATATTGCTCCAGAACATTGCCCTACGTGCCCAGCACAGAAATAGATGGGAACAGGTAAACCCACCAAAAACATTATATAATTATGCCCACTGCCACTTCATTCAACAACAAAGTAGATTAATTTTTACAGGTTAACAAAAAGAAGGAATGGTTTGTGGAGGTTTATTTGAAGTATATTATTCAGACTCCGTTTAATATTTTTACTACTAGCAAAGAAGGCAGAAAAAAACATAGTTGCAAGCATACATTCCAGAGTAGAACAGCTGAGTTCTGGTTATGGAGGTGTACACTTATACAGTCAAATTCAATCCTACCTTGTAAGGTGCATTGTTTTAAACTAGCCAAATGAAGAAACCCTTCTTTGAAATAAAGAGGGCAGATGAAGGGAGTATAAAGAGGATATTCTAGAGTTTAAACAAGGATGCTTTTTTTTCCAGACTGTTATTGGGTCAGCCTACAAATAGGTTTTAAGGGCTTGATAACACTGAGACCCCAGCAAAAGTTCACAAATAAATATGCAAATATATGTAAACACTTTCTTACCTTGAAAGAACAGTCTATATGGAAGTTGCTCAACAAGTTGGAGTGAGAAATCTTACCTTATTGTCTTCCCGTCCTGTTGTATATAAGTTCATACAAGAGTAATTTGTCAAGATTCCCAATAAATACTAATCCTTATATCCTGTAGAGAGAAGAATAGAACACTTTATTTTCATCACATTTATTGTAAAGCGCTACGTAATCTGTTGGCGCTATATAAATGGCGATTAAAAAAATAATAATCCCAGCTGTATTTATAAAACTATAATAAATTGGGATTATAATAAATGAAATCAGACATACCACAGATAAAGATATATATCTAAGTTATTAACCCCTTAAGGACTGAGCCAAATGTACACGTTTTGATCAAAATAAAACGTAAACAAAACTTGGAATTTTACTATATGTCTGTTCATCCATAATTCACCTCTTTTATATTAAGTGCACCCACACTTATTATATATCATTTTATTCAGGCGAAATAGGGGTTTCATAAAATATTTAGCTATGAAACATAATTTATGATGAATATAAAAAAAAGTGAGCATTTTTTTTTTAGTTCTGGGTGACATTTTAACTGTGAATGTCATACTGTTTGCTTTTACTGCATTAAAATACACATATTTGTATTCAGCGATGTCTCACGTGTAAAACAATACCCCCTATGTACAGGTGTTATGGTATTTTGGGAAGTTACAGGGTCAAATATAGCATGTCAAATTTTTCAGTTTTTGGGACCATATGGTAGCCCAGGAATGAGAATTACCCCCATGATGGCATACCATTTGCAATAGTAGACAACCCAAGGTATTGCAAATGGGGTAGGTCCAGTCTTTTTTTTTTCTAGTAGCGTTTGTGACTAAGTGGCTACTAAAAAAGACTGAACATACCCCATTTGCAATACCTTGGCTTGTCTACTTTTGCAAATGGTATGCCATCATGGGGGTAATTCTCATTCCTGGGCTACCATACGGTCTCAAAGGCAAGGTAACCAATGTGGCGAACTTCAATGTGAAAAAACTGAAACACAAGCCTTATATTTGACTCTGTAACTTTTGAAAACACCATAAAACCTGTACATAAGGGGTACTGTTATACTCAGGAGATTTTGCTGAACACAAATATTAGTGTTTTAAAACCATAAAACATATCACAACAATTATATCGTTAGTGTAAGTGCCATTTGTGTGTGAAAAATGCAAAAAAATGAATTTTTACTGATGAGATCATCGTTGTAATACATTTCAACCTTTATTTTACTTTATTACAGGCAGGAGGGGGACTACCTGTCATTCCAAGCACTTCCCCTGCTGGCACTGCTATGGACAGCTATTCCGTCCATGTGATTATGAGGAGGGCCGGATCAGATGCAGGAGGACTGCCTGGGATCTAAGGCAAGTCCCTCCATAGCGATAGCCAGCAGGAATCGCCAGCGAGCAGGTAAGTCCCCTGGACTGTGGGGACATACTATGCCACCCACCGGCATTTAGAGCTGGATCCCCAATGACGGCATAGAACGCCCGCCATCCTTAAGGGGTTAATCATGGAACTGAATAAGGATGACATAAACTTTAGCAAAGTTTTAACAAATTAAGTCAAACTTGGTTCTCAATCAAATTGGCGCAACACAGAGATTTTGCTTTGCATGTTCACTTGTCTCCAAGAGTTTCCGTATAGGGAAGCATTGATGATCTCAGCCAAGGATCTGGGTATGGCAGTGCAGTGAGCAGTGTGGTGATGGCAACAAGGAGATTTTTTTTTTTTATTACTTATGACACAGTAAGTTTATATAGATACAAAATTGAGCCCTGTGCTGAAACTCCCACTACACGTGGTTAGCAGCAATGAACACAGTACACATCTACCTAATTACATACAATAAAAACCAAAGAAAAAATTTACCTGTGCACTATTCCAAATTCCTATGCACATTGATAAAAAAGAAACATATCTATTTAATCAATGGGGAGCTACTGATTGGCTTATAGCATCAGCTGACCACTCTACCAAAATCAGTGGTGCCCTGCCTGGCAGCAGGGGACCTGAAGAAAGTCTCTGGAGGAAACTTTTGGGGTTAAATC